CAGACAAAAAGTAAGAATTCTTTAGACATCAACTAAAAAAGAAATAAAAATGTTAAACAATAACAATGAAATGAAAACAGAACTGTTGCTTTAATCCTGTTTAAGTTTTTGTTTTTCTATTTCTGAGTAATTTAAATGTAGTTAATTTGCAGTTTTAACTACTACTATAAAACCAAAGCAATTTGTAATTAACTACTTTTTACAAAGTTAGTGCCCATCATTAAAGATTGACCAAGACATTTAATGATAAGTTGAGACCTTTCATCTCTGCTTTAGACCCTATGTTTAGATCTGTTGGTGGAAGCATCTCTTGCAGCCACATCTTTCATACATGTTTGCAATAAATTTCCTGTATACTTCCACTGACTTGGTAGTATAGTCTTCCTCAGTCCAGATGAGATGACCAGAGTAAATAGATGAACTATGTATTAGAGTAAGTTATGTGAAACCCACAGTAGACAAGTATAAGCTGTAAAATAGAATAAGCGGACAAGACACATTAACAAGCATTCATAAGTTAGTTGACTGTGAAAATATGTATATTGTTGTAAAACAAAATGTCTACAACTGCCAGATTAATTGTTGTAATATCTTTAGGAACCAAATTCCAGAGTCCAGACCTCTCTTTTGTTTATAGCAGTATTGAGATATATGGCTATGACTAGCTCTTCACTGATTTATACTACCTATATGAATTGTCTAGATTGAGATCTTTGTGAATCATCACATCCTAATAGTTGTAAACAATTTTTGACAATATTCTGTCATATTCCTTAAATTGCATTTGAGATTGTAGCTATTGCAGGGAGGTTTTTCTCTTGTTTTTGATCACTTTTTTAGATTTTTGAGGATGAAACATACTCTCTAGAATTTCTAGCTACTTTAGAAGCATTTTTTTCCACTGAGATTCAGTGTGTTTGGTACTTTATTCTTTTTATCTTTTTGATGAGACTATATCTCATCTCTAAAATCATGTTGATGTGAACAGCTGGACACCTTAAAGGTAGGAAGGAGTACATGTCAGGAGTTGCAATTTGGCACAGAGTATTTGGTGTGCAAATCATGCACACAAAAAAAACCAGACTTGTAAGTGGTCAGGGAACTGAGAACTGGGTCAAAATATAATACAAAATGGTGAGACTGTTTCTACAAACAGGCACAAGTACAAGACTTGCACATGCATTGCTTGTGCTCTCAGAGACATAGTCTTGTCCCAAGATTGGCTTTGCCATTTTACTTGTTTTTGCACTAGAATTTTTATTTCTGGTAAATCTAAATACAGTTAGTACTAGTGATGCCACGAATATTCAGCTACTATTCGGTATTCGGCCTATTCGGCTACTTTTTTTAATATTCGGTATTCGGCCGAATGTTGCATACTATTCGGCCGAATACCGAATACCAAATCACGGAAAAAAAACGCACATATTACTCAAAAATGTATTTTTTTTAATCACAAATTATTACATTTAATACTTAAAATCTATCAGTGGTAAGTTGTGATGAATGAAAACAATTTTTTCAGCATTTGTTGATAGCAAACGATTGCGCTTTTCCTCATAAACTATACCTGCTTCTGAAAATAGCCTCATCTCATAATCCACCATCTCATAATATCATAATCTCATAATATTTCCAAATAGGCGATTTTTTATTAAATGGTGCCATTTTGTAAAGCTTTTGGCGAACAAACAGTGATATTTTTTAGAAATAAAAACTATTAGTAACACAATTTGATGTAACAATGAGCAAATAATGCGTGTCGTGACACGATCTACTCGCAAATGAAACAAACCCTTTCTCACAATTTCTCTCTCTCTAGGCGGGACAGTCTCACCCCACATTCTTAGGGATACGATTACATCACCCACCTGACATATGTCACAGAGCTGTTGACTGTTCATCAACACTTGATAACATCCACACACCTGACACATGTTACAATTGAACTTAACAACATATTTTGCCGAACATTCGGCCGCCGAATATTCGGTGCTTCGGTCGAGAGCGTAGCCGAGTATTCGGTATTCGGCAAAATCACTATTCGTGGCATCACTAGTTAGTACCCTCTGGTGATCTTTTGATTTTTGACTCAAATGTGACTAGTCTGTTAGTTTGTCAGTCCAAACTAGTTCATTATTTCCCCAAAATATTTTAAACAAAACTTTATTTTCTAATTGTGAATTCAATAGAAAAAAATTTAGGGGGTCCATTTGAAATTCTACAGATGCTTAATTATTATGAAATTGAAAAGGCTCCTTGAAAAGAACTTATTCTGATTAATTTTTTATTGGATGTATATTTTATGAGATATTTGTCAGGGACAGTATAAATGAAGGATGGAAGAAAGAGTGAATTTCTTGATCTTTAAGTACAATTCTGATTAATTTATCAGTTTTTATATTAAATATTTTGCATTCTAAAAACTGGAAGAACATTTCTGAATGTATAACTTGACAAAATGAATTTTTAACTTAACAGACTTCCAAATTTTATATTAAAAAAACATACAAAGTACAATCAAGTTTGTTACTTTTTAAAAATAGAACACTTGAACAATAAATGTAATACAGTTGACCCGCGGTAATCCGACAAACGTTTTGCAAGGCTTTGTCGGATGATCGAATTTGTCGGACTATTAGAGTACTGCCACTGACCCCTTGTAGTCTGGAACTTTTTTGAAAAGGAGTATCTTGTAATCTGATAAATTACATACTTATAAAAATGGTAAGATCAAATCTATATGTACTACATAATATACAATATAGGACTTAGTGAATTAAACAACACAATAGATAGCATAGGGTTTATTATAAAATTAACATCATTAACGCTATATCACTTGCAAAAAAATAATAACTAAACATATTGACATATTGATGTCAATCAATTACATACAACATATGTAAGTATTTCCAAGATACATACTATGTATGATCTTAATTTGAAAATGGATAAACAAAAATTTATGGTGCATCAAATATTCATCAATTTTCTTTTGTTTACATTGGCTAAACACGAGAGTAAGACCTTGTCTCTCACTCTCCTCAGAAGTAAAAGTTCGTTGTACGATGCACCATTCTCTTCAGTCCATTGCATACCGAGCTGCAAATAGGCATGTCGGATTATAGGGGGTGCTGGATTAGACAGGCACCGGATTACCATGGGTCTACTTACTTCCTAACAATAGATGAAATTCTGATGCTATTCTATAGCAATTGAGAGATTATAAGAAGGATAAGTAACCAGTAATTTTGTTTTTTACAACAAATGAAAGCATCTTTACAAAGAACTTCATAATTTTTTGAATAAAGAACTTTATTTCTAGAAACAAATATTTATTAAATCATTATAAAGCCACACCAACTGCCAAATAAGATTGGCTATTTTCTGGCAATTATAATTTTAATTAAAATCACTGGAAAATATCCTGATCTTATTTGGCACTTGGTGTGGCTTTATATTAATAAATTGGGTTTTGAGAGATTATATATGTATTAAATCATTTTTGTTTTAAGTGGTAAACCATGAATATATCATTAAATTAAAATAGTTTGTTACACCAAGACTGAAAAAGCAATTTATAATCTAATTATTTTTTTCAACAAAAGGCCAATTTAAAGATTAACATATTTGTTGGCCATATATTTTACGAGAATTTCTAAAATATTTTTCAAAAAGTTAACAATACAGGAGTAAAAAGAACTAAAAGAAGTATTTTATGGCAAAATAAAAACTGTTTAACTTAACATTACAGTTACATTTTAGAGAAGAATGTTTAAAATAAGAACTGTTAACATTACAACTGATGTTAGGAATTCTGATTTTTAAGTACTATGTATTGTAATGTCTACTAAAGTAGATGTTAGTCACCTACATTATTCTATTAAAGAGGACAGCCAGCTTTTCCTCTGTTTAAATGTATTGCTGCTTGATAATAGTAAAAAGGTTAGGTCAGTGAACTGAATTTTAAAAATATTTCAAAAATTTGTTGATTTATAAAAAGATTTGTTAATATTTATCTATAAAGAATCAGCAAAATTGATTTTTACAATAACATGTAATCATTTATTGATGAAATATAGGTCCTTATAAAATCAACATCAAGTTATTTAATACAGTAAGTTTAGTTTTTCATGAAACTTTATAGGGAGACAAGGTTAGTTTTGGAAATTAGATATTAAGAAATTAGCCTTTTAACATGTCATCATTTGGTGTTTGCAAATAGGCCTAGTGTGATATAATTACAAATACAAGTTGTGAATAGTGCAAATTGGTATTAAAAATAATGCAACATATTTCCATCTATAAGAGTGTGCTCTTATATTTGCAGAGAGATATTGGCACTACATTCTACCAACTACTTAAAACACACACTATTTTAAAAGTGCTTTTATAGTTTCAGGAGCATTTTTTTTTTTTTTTTAATTTTGGCTTTTTATTTTTAATAATGGTTACCATAGAGATGTCACTGAATAGTTATTATAAGTTATCAATAAATACTCTTACATTAAATTTACATTGCAGTTCTGTAAGCCAAAACAGGCTGAAATACATAAAAGTATGATTTGTTTGTGTGGAAATGTGGTAAATATATTATTGAAAAGGTAATAATCAAGAATGTAATTACATTATTTTTGTAAGTTTTGAAAAACAGCTGCTTTTTATTAAATTAGAGGTTTGGTTTTTGAGTGGTATCTATTACTTTGCTTTTTAGAAATGTTTTAAGTTACATAAAGTACCTGTTGTTTTTCTTAAAGTAAACCTGCATTTTCAAAAAATTGTTTGTACATGAAATGTATAAAGTAGACTTAAGGAAAGAAACAAATTCACATTTATTCTAATTGCAGAAATAATGAATTTGTTTCCTTAAATTATATGTATTTACAATATCATTATTTTAAAGTTTAGCATGTTTGTTTTTAATACTTTGTAATATAAGTTTTAGTTTGGTAACAGATATTTCAATATAAAATTTATATTTTTTTTATTTCTTGTAGAAATTATGAGTTCAAATGAATGCTTCAAATGTCACAAAACTGGACATTTTGCTCGTGAATGTCCACAAAGTGACAGCCGTGGAAATGGAAGACCCAGAGCAATAAGCCGTGGAACTCGATCTGATAATAGAGCCTTATTAAGAGGTAATTTTTTTCAATATGTATTAGGTTTTTCTTCTTGTATTTTTTAAAATTTAATTGTAATGATTGATTATAATGAAAATAATATTATTTAAAAATTTTTAGGTGTTTGAAACTTGTCAGACTCATCTGTGCAAATCTTATACAATTTACTATGTATAGATCTTTTTTTCAAGAACACACAATCTTTGTATGTTTGATAATTACTAATATATATTTTACAAATGTTGTAACAAGTAGAAAATTTACATAGTACAGGTAACCCCTGTTAAACACGGTGCTTTTATTGCACGGATTCACTCTATCACAGTTCGAGAATGGGTAAAACCCTCATACAACATCAAATGTAATAAATTTTCACATACTTAAGTACTAATAGTTCACCAAAATTATTATTTTTGTGAACTATTAGTACTTAAGTATGTAAATTTTCTTTTCCCGCCTTCTGTTGATACATGTGGCCCTTCTCAAAACTTGTTTGTGTTGCCAGATCTTGACGCTTCTGATTTTGGTGTTGCCAGATGTTTCCCCTTGTTCCATACTTGCTTTATTCTTTATAAGTGCTTAGCACCATATAAGGAAATTTATAAAGACCTTTTAACTAAAAGCAAGAAATCTAAAATAGCATATTTTTTGCAAAAGGTAGAGCATGGATTTGAAGATAATGCAGAAAAATGTTCAGAGTATAAGGATAACTTGCCAAAAAGAAAATGCTCTCAGTTAATAGTGCTTTTAGTGATGATGAAGAAAACATTGTTTAATTTATATTAATATTTATCACTTAAAAAATTTTAATAAAGATATTTATCTTAATTATGAAAATATACTAGCATGTTTTTTAATTTTTGGAACCTAACCCTCCTTTTCGTATTAGTTCTTTGTTTCGTATAACACGGATTCGCATAACACGGCAATTTTTTGGAACGTAACTACCGTGTTATACGGGGGTTACCTGTACTTTCTAATTACAACAATTACCTATCTACTCTCGATAATAATAAACAATAGAAATAAATATTTAAATTTCTACTTTATGTAATTCGATTTCGAATTATTATACTGTAGTATATTGAAGAAATCTGAAATCGTAAATATATTATACATGGTTGAACTTACATTACTATAATTATATACCTAATTAATAAGTAATAAATCATTGCTTAGAGCCAACAAAGAAATAC